TTTTGTACGGAGAACCGCCGTGCCAGGGGGTGGGCAAAGCAGCAGCATGGGCCGAAACAGCAGCACTGGTGACCCGTGGGGCTCCTCCGCCTGGGAATCTCCTGATCTGTGGGCAATAAAAATCCATCTGGAAATGTGATGTCCACTCACCCTTTGCACTTTCACTGGGAGCTGCAATCCTGAGCTGTTCCTAGTCGGCCATCTTCCCCGATGCCTGGGTAAGCTATTATTATCAATGTCATCGACGTCATTATTTAACACCCGTGAAATAATCTTCAAAACTCTTAAAATATGAGCAAACCAGATTTCTCACTCAGATTCCAAACTCTCACTCAGAGAGTTAGAAATCTATTCTGTGTCTATACAGTTATATAAAGAGAAATGAATTCTTTTTTTACTTGGTTTGACTCATAGATGAACAATAATGTGACTTAACTTGGGACTCTACTTCACTCTATACTCCCAGGCAGAATTATATGCAGAATTTCTACACCTTCCATACATTGTCCAAACCCAAGTGTATAGGTATCTTCCAGTTTTTCCCCTTATTTTAACAGAAAGGCACATTTAAAATTGTGGGAGGGAACCCCTCAAGAGCCGAGGTAGGATCTGAAGCCTCAGCATGTTCTCATATAAACATAGAATTAGAAAAGAATTAGAGATATAGCTACATAGTTATCCTATATACAATCATAAAATAATCACATAGCTATTCATATGTAATCATAAATATATACATATATAATCATATAATCTTTAATCTGATTAATAAATCTCAGGTCAAGAAGTATGGGACTGAAGTGGCATTGGAAAAGAGGTGACCCTAAGGCAAGATGCTCCGAGCCCTCTGTCATGCCCGCATAAGGGCTGCTGGAGGATGCCTTGGCCGTGCAACAGTGTCAGTGCTGTGAAAGTGCCCGCTGTTTAGCCAGCTAGGGACGGAGACATCCAAGATGGCCGAGACGTCTCCTTCCTCGGGGGAGTGAGGAGAAACCTCTGCTCTCCCAAGCTCTTGCGGTAAGCCTGATGGCTGTCAGAGAGGCCCACAGACATCCGGGGACTTAATTGTCCCTATGTGGTGCTGTGCGTCGGCAGTCACGTTCCATGTCTACTTTCAAGTTCTGCTTCTGCACCTGGTTCCTCTTTTTCTTAGAAGATAAGAATTGATAATAATAACATAAATCTTAGTGACCTTGTTATTTCTTGACAAGTATGAAAAAAGTGCTGACGCCTTAGGTTTTCTCCTCGCCTCGGCTTTTTCAAAGTCTTGGGCCTCTATCTCCAAGACACGTGATTTACCTGATCCTATCACTGACCACCATTACCTCATCCTACCTGCCCTGCCCCCTGCTTTGTACTCAATACACGTGAGAGCATGCAGGCACTCGGGGCCACTGCTGGTCTCCGAGGTTTGGTACCAGTAGACTCCTGGGCCCAAACTCTTTCTCTGTGTCTTGTGTCTTTTATTTCCACAGTTTCTCGTCTCCACATAGCAGAGAGGGACTCACGGGACCCTGTAGGGCAGGACCCTACATAAAATATGAATGTATTCCTGGTTGAAGTCATAAGAAATCATCCCCTTTGAAAAGAGTGAAAAGAAGAAATTTTTCAGAGTGGGTGGTTTTTTGGGCACTGCAGGAAAGTTACCTTTAAAAGGGACAACCTGATGCCTGATCCCCCCCCACCTCCCTACCACCTGCCAAGGTTGAAGCTGGAGTCTGCATTCAAGACTGGACTCTGTGGGGACCCCCCCAGCTCCCTTTGCAGGAGTTATTGCCAAAATGCCACATGGGACCTGAAACAGGCCTCACAGCCACATTGGCAGCTGTGCATGGTGTTGGTGATGATGATGAAAATAACTTAAGAGGTTCTTGAACCTTGAGGACATTAAAATCTCCTGGTGAGATTGTTAAATGCAGATTCTCTGGCTACATCCCCAAGGATCTGATTTAAAAGATGTTTGCCCAGAGTTTGTTTTCTTTTTGGCGATGGAGGCTTGCTGTATTGCCCAGGCTGGAGTGCAATGGCGCAATCTCGGCTCACTGCAACCTCCACCTCCTGGGTTCAAGCGATTCTCCTGCCTCAGCCTCCTGAGTAGCTGGGATTACAAGCGCCCACCACCACACCTGGGTAATTTTTTGTATTTTTAGTAGAGATGGGGTTTCACCATGTTAGGCAGACTGGCCTCAAACTCCTGTCCTGAAATGATCCGCCCGCTTCAGACTCCCAAAGTGCTGGGATTACAGGTGTAAGTTACTACACCCGGCCGGAAGGCTATATGTTTAACAAATACTTTTGATGCAAGTAATTATCTTACTTCCCATTGAAAAACACTGCGTTAGTGTTTCTTTTTTCTCTCTTCCTTTTTTTTTTAAGACAAGGTTTTGCTTGGTCACCCAGGCTGGAGTGGGCTGTGCAATCACAGCTCACTGCAGATTCTGGCTCCTGGGCTCCAGTGATCCTCCTACCTCGACTTCCCAATCAGCTGGGACCACAGGCACATGTGTTAGTGTTTCTCACACAGGTCCAAGTGTCACATGGCTTGTCATTTGTGTTCTTCCTATTTCTGTTCAAAACTCCTTCCAATGATGTGTGAAATAACCCACCTCTATGCATGTGAGATGCTGGGTGATGAAGATTTGCTCACTTAAACCTGAACTAGAGAGTCCCACCTAAGGTGT